AAGGAGTTTGTGGGGAACACTTTGTAAAGTATTGTCTAACCATTATGCTACACCCTAAAACTAATACAAAATAATGTTTACAATAAATAAGTAAATAAATAAATACTGGTTGTAAAGCCTGGGTTTGCAACAGCTTTGTTAGTAATTCAGCCACAGTAAATGAGAATGGGGGAAGATTGATTCCTTATTGACTATTTTTCCCCCTAGAAATTGCTACCTGAACATGGTCAAATTAACTTATTACAATCCAATGTTACTGTGGTGTTTCTAAGTGGAATAACTTGTTGCATCATCATTTTAAAGAGCCAAGGTTGGACAATTTAATAATTAGCCCTTCTTTATGTAACTTTAATGTCCAAGAAAACCATTTAGGAAGATGACCAGCCCTCTCAAATTTACATCAAGTGTTGATACTTATGTTTCCATGTGTAATTGCACACAAACTGGATGGATAAAATTAGGGCCCTGGGGTTAATATGGTCAGTGACTGACTGTCTCTGATTACATTTCTTTTTTTTTTATTTAAATATATTTTTATTGATTTTTTACAGAGAGGAAGGGAGAGGGATAGAGAGTGAGAAACATCGATGAGAGAGAAACATCGACCAGCTGCCTCCCGCACACCTCCCACTGGGGATGTGCCCGCAACCAAGGTACATGCCCTTGACCGGTATCGAACCTGGGACCCTTCAGTCCGCAGGCTGACGCTCCATCCACCGAGCCAAACCGGTTTTGGCTGATTACATTTCTAGTTAAAATCATTTCAAGATTTTGCTTATAACTTCACCTGGGAGCTCTTTTTCCTTTAATACAGACAAGCTAAAAGTAGCCTTAATTATCTAGGACTGGAAAATCATGTAACAGTAACACTACCCTTTGCTTTGATGAAAATGTCTTGGAAGCTATAAAATCCCTTGAAAAAATTTTGTCTCCTTTCAGCTAATACTGAACTGAAAGTTCCATATAGATTTCAGACGTCAGTGGAAAATTTTTTACAAGCAAGCAACTTGAAGGTGTGCTTCCATCCCCACTGTCACCAAATTATTTATCTGAAATAGCTTCTCACACTTGTTTTTTTTAAAGACTCAAAAGTTGCATCTTATCCATTTTACAAAAGTGTTTCACCCTCAGTCCCTTCCCCCTACCATCAAACTATCGATCTAGTAACTCATTGAGCAAGCCTTTTTTTTTCTTCTGGTTTTAAATTTGGGTTTTTCAAAATGTTATTTGTATCATGAGCAGGAAAGTTTGGGGCACTATTTCACTATGAATCACTGACATATTTTCTCATCTCATCAGAAAATAAGAATGTAAACTTTTCATGCAACATACCCTTTTATCCATGGGCCAAAATCACTTTAAAATAACAAAACACTCAGTTTCCATCTGCATATTCAGTACCTAAACATTCATGCATGAGCAACACCAGAAGTCAGTACTTCAGATACTTGTCAGAAAATCAAACCAGGCATTTATTCTGTTCCAGCGCTTGCTGGCACCTCAGTTAGGCCATCTGATAGCTGTGAAAATAGCTAATGAATATGTTAAAGATTCCCCCAGATCCTTTGAGTTCTATCTCCATATTATCAGGAAACACCATGCCTAGACCCTATTACCATAATTAAATACCATGCCGTTGGCTTACTAAGTAGAATTACAATAAAAGAAACAATCATTTGAAAAAATATTTCTGGATCGTCTACAAAATTATAGTCCAAGACATGTGCATATAAATTATATAAAGATATACCTACTAAATTTTCCTACTATAGGGTACCAGAGACACGTAAATGCTGCCTTTTATTGAAGCCAGGGGACTCCATACCCTCATATATTCTCTTTGGTTCTGCCTTCTAGAAATCTCAGATTCGAGTTAGACCTATACTCTGGGTTCTTGACGCAGAAGTACCCAATGAATCCACTTAGGTTTCCTTCAAACTAGCTCAGCAACATCTCCCCCACCTCCCTACCCTTCAGTGCTTCTCAAGGGGAGGTCTTCATCTCCCCCTCCCACCCAACTACATCCCTCCTTTATCTGGAAATCATTTCATGAGGGGTCATGAGAAATATACGGATGGAACCAGGTTGTATATGTGATCAGTGTCTTTTCAACCATCTGTTTGGTATGCATTTTGACACCGCAGGCTGTATTTTTGTGTAAATACTGTTTTTGTTTTGCCGAGGCAGCTAGCTAAAGAGAATAGTGCTGTAAGTTGTTTGGTTAAAGCAGGCCTTTTCTGTTTATTCTGTTCTGACCCTGTTTATTAGTTACTCTCTAAAACAAGAATCTAATTCTGCATTTCTGGCTTCCTTGGAAGACCATCCCTCTCTCCCCAGTGGAGCAGCAATTAATTAATCCTCCACCTCTCTTTCCTTTCCTGTATCTTCTTAACTCAAAACACTTTGAGGCATAGGGAGAGGCAGGTGCTAGATGGTACCTGCACTCACACTTTGGTATTTCAAGCCACCTGACTTTGTTGGTGGCACATAGGGTAAGTGAACGCATAATTGTCTGTTTTCTATCGTCATCATGGTTAACCTGAAGAAGTGATATTTCAGGTGATGTTTCAATTCTGCGGGGACAGGGTTTCAAGAGACCCTGCCTCGTCCGGCACAACAATTTCTTGGCAGCGGAGCACTGGTGGACTTGCCGGGAGGGACAGCATGAGGGAGAGAGGATTCAGGCATTTTGTTGTTCACCTTTGAACTGTGCTTATAAACAGCCTGGTTTCACGTGGAGGGTCTCTGTCTGGCTCCAGGGTCTTGGTCAGGGCCTTGGACTTCCTTCTGAGTCCATAGCAACCCCAAACAGAAGGCCTCCCCTTCCCTCCTTCCTCTTCTCCCTCCATGTCCAAGTACTAAATTCTGATTATGTCACCCTGTAACTATTTCTGGGTTTTGTCCCTTTCTCCTCATCCCCCCCCCCCCCCCCCCCCCCCAAGTCCAGTCTTAGCTGAGGCCTTATTATTTCTCCTGGGCCACTGCAGCTGCTTCAGACCTCATTTCCCCTCCGATGTGTCAAATCCATTCTCCAACAGCTGTGCTTCTGAGGGTGCACAGGACTCCACGTGGATCCGTTCTGCCTGCCCCCTTACTCTCGGTGCTCTTCTAGGCAACCCCAAGTACCTGCGCTCCTCCAGCACACACCAAGCAGTTCCGCCCTCTAGCAGGTTCACTCCACCAGGCAGGACATCACCTCCTCCAGGACGCCCTCCCTGATTCTCCCCAACTCTCAAAGACGGATCTGCAATGCCCCTTAGCTCCGCGCCCTCTCCGTGCTGCTGCTACCAGCTCCTTCTGCACGTGGCCTCCGCAGGTGTGTGCACACTTCAGGGAGGCGACTGTGTCATAATCATCTTTGTAGTCCCGGCCCAGCCCAGCAGCAGTGCCTCCTAAACCTGGAAAACTGGTCCCTGCAAAGTTGCCGGGAGCCCAGCCTCGGTGTGACATTAACCCCTGGGAGAAGAAGGGCGTGATCTGGACCCAGACATGGTGACCATGGAGTCTGCACAGCATGGGCAGCCACTGCCTGTGCAGCCAGGCCTCCTGGCCCACGTGAGTAATGGCGGGGGATCTCCGGCGCGGGGCGCTCGGGGTCCTGCGGCCTCTCCCTGCACGCGCTCCCGATCCCCGCACCACGCAGCACGCCGTGACCAGGGCGCATGCGTGCGGTCGTCATGACAACGTCGCAGCTACAGCCTGCCGGAGAGAGGAGCATGGAGCCGGGCTCGGAGAAGGCCCCCTGGCCCAGGACCCCCTACCCAGCTCCGCCCCCCACTCAGATCGCTATTCCTACTTGGGGCCGGGCCCAGGCCTTCGGTAGCAATAAGAAATAGGGTGTCCTTTGTCACCCGAAACCCGCAAAGAGCCTGGGAGCCCGGGCTGTGGGGTGGCACCCCCGATTTTGGTAGGGGGTTGGGGGGCGGCGTAGCGGGAGCG